TCTTCCTGATCAGGTGGCCTGTAGTAAACCCCCACCACCATGTCGCCCCGTGTTAGCCTGCCCTTTAATCCTTGCCCATAGGCTCTCAACTTGCTCTTCATCCACCCCCAGGCAGAGCTCCACACATTCTAGTTGCTCCCTCACGTAAAGAGCGACTCCACCACCTCGCCTTCCTGGCCTGTCTTTCCTAAAAAGCACGTAGCCATCCGTGACAGCATTCCAGTCATGCGAACTATCCCACCATGCCTCTGTCACTGCAATGAGATCATGGCCCTGTGACCGCACACAGATCTCTAACTCTTCCTGTTTATTCCCCATGCTGCATGCATTGGTATACAGGCATTTCAGAGAGCCAGTCAAGCATGCAAGCTTCCCAGGAGAGGTGCAAGAGGAGCCTCCATAGCCATGTTCCACGCTGCCTCCCCTGGAGACAGCGTTCTCTCATTGTCTGTAGTGGGTAGAGGAATCACATTCTGATTTTCCCAGTAAGAGCAGCATTTCAACAAGAAGTGAGCCTGATTTTAAAGTCTGGTTCTAGACATGATAATAAACTTTCCTGCCTCTATTATACCCTCACGCTCTAAAGACATTTTGATCTGAGCTTGTCCCTGTCTGTAACAGATGTAACCCAAAAAGGTCTGACAGTCTCAGACATCGCTGAATCCAGAGCAACACAAACAGTTTCGAGGAGTTCTGGGAAAGCAGTTCTTCTCTTTTTCATCCATGGAAACCTTGCTTGGCAAAGGTTTGAACGTTGCTTGAGAGAAAAAATGTTGAAAGCTTATGTTTAGGATAAACCAGGAGCCCAGCACTTTTACAGAGAGGCCAGTTGCATATCAATTGCATATCAACCGTGCTAGTGGCTTGCACAGTGTCCCACCATGGGCTGGTTGCAGCAATAACAGTATCACCTTGAAGTCCTGACACCGTGGTCCCTCTCACTTAGTCCCTGGATCTTACGAACCTCAGCTCTGGTAGAGCTTGTTGTTTACATATGGATAGTAGATTTGGGTCCTTAATACATGTCACTGCTCATAAAATGTAACTGTACTGTATTGTTTGTCTTTCAGAAAAAAGCAGATGGGGAGCAGCAGGCAATGTTTGCTGTGTTTGATGAAAATAAGAGCTGGTACATAGAGGATAACATCAAGGACTACTGCAGCAACCCTGCCAGTGTTAAAAGGGATGACCCCAAGTTCTATAACTCGAACATAATGCACAGTGAGTGCAAAAACAAGCTGAAGATTATAAAAACTCATGTGAGCCTAAGCATTCAATGATTGCCCATTCTCAGATGTAGTGCACATAGAGAATTCTTTAGAGGGACAGTGATTGTCTAACCAGGACAGGCGCTACTGTATAGAGACTTGCAATATTTCAGGAACTAGACTAGCTTTGGGCCCTGAAGGCAAGGGTTATTTAAGTTTGACACAGCATCCTGCTGATAAGAGATACTATTTCCAGAGCTGGAATCTTCATCAAGGCTCTTGTGGTTTCAGCCCTGGGCCAGTCTCTCTTATGGTACAAATGTGAGTCCAATTCAGTGAACTGATGTCAAAGAACAGGAACTTTTAAAATTCTGGCTCTTTAACTTTTAAATTGGTGAGGCATGAAAATATTTAGACCACTTTTGTTTCATTTTCTTTTTAGCAATAAATGGCTATGTGTCTGACAGCAGTGAAATCCTTGGATTTTGCCAAGATAATGTGGTTCAGTGGCACTTCTCCAGTGTTGGCACTCATGATGAGATTGTCTCTGTTCGCCTTTCTGGGCATTCTTTTCTGTATCAAGGGAAATATGAGGATGTGTTGAACCTTTTCCCAATGAGTGGAGAATCAGTCACAGTGGAAATGGACAATGTTGGTAAGTGGCAAGACTAGAGTGTCTATTTCACAGCCCCTCTAAGACTTTCTTTAATTTCTAGTCCATAAGGATTTATCCAAATAGGAAGGCTTTATGGATAAACACAGTGACAGAAAATCTTGATTCATTCCTCAAAGTGACTGATGTGTATGGAGTTCTGTTGTCTACACAAACTTGGTTCATATCATAGTTGTATACTATACTGTGGCTTTTTTAGTTTATCTGTTTCACCCCACAGTTAATATTAGGGTTAGCAGAGTCATTTTAGGGCAATTTTAAGATTACCAATGGGAACGGTCCAGTATCAATTCCACTGCATGATGTGTGTATCAGTTAGTTAAAATGGGCCAAAAACTGTCAAATTATGGTAGTTGCTGTTGAATAAAGTGGCTACACTTCACTTCAGGCTTGTGGTCATTTCAGAACAGTAAAGTCTGCCATACTGAATCAGACCACTTGTCTATCAGTATCCCTTTCCATCACCATTCTGTGATCTCAGTATCTAATAGGATTAATAACAGATCTTGAAAAGATGACACTAGAAGTCATGTAGTGCGCATGTCGTTACCTGTCGAAGGGCAGAGATTCCTCCTCGTTGAAGTATGTGAGTGTTGGTGATGGTCTTAAAACCCTAAAGGGTTTAGATGTGTTTATCCTATTTTGCAATACTGATTAATGTTTATCTTTTGTCTGTTTAATTCTTTAGGCCTTCCAGACTTATTTTCAGTGATCTCACTGCCTCAAGACCTTGTCAATTTAAAAATGCATTACAAGTTATGTGGATTTTTTTATTATTTAAGACTAGGGAATCATTAAAACTCCATCAAACTTGATAGATACTTCTCCAGTAATGGAGCTGTACTTTTCCCTGGTTTTGATATGTGATCTGTTCTTTCCACCTAAGCTGTTTTCTTTTGTCAATTTGTTATTGCCGTTGGATATGAGGAAAGCTATGCAGGTCACTAAAGTCTGATAAAAACAGAAAAATTATATCTGACCTTTTTATTAAAAGACTATTTTTCTCAGACTCTGTCATTCTGTATTTTGTCGTTTCTGTTAGTTCTAAAAGCAAGCTATAACAAGCAAAGAACTTGATCTGATGCCACTTAGGGA